TCAATGGAATCACTCTCACAAATACTCACGCAAACTTTTGTGATAAAATTCTTGGACACTGTCATCCCAATCGGCCTGATAAAAGGTCAATCCGGCAGGGGTGATTACATCCTGGTGCTTCCTGTAGAAATCCAGTGTCTTCCAATTTCGTTGTTCCAATTCCAAACACGGTTGTTCCCTCTTATACTCCGAGAAATCAATCTTTTTGTCTTGTTTATAAAGAACACAGATGTATCTGCAGTATCCAAGACCACGGGGTGGAATGGGCATCATGTAATCAATCAGAACATCTCCCTTGTCAACTTGATCCTCAGGAATATTGGCAACGAACCAGTGACAATACTCAAACTCTCTACTCGTCAAATTTCCATCAGGAGTTGTGAGGAGAATAGTCCACAGTGAATCCCGCTCAGCCGTATATTTGACAAAGGGAATACTTTTCGTCTCATTTGGCTTTAATAGATTCCCTCTGTGAACGGTTGCTATCATTTCCTCGTTCACCTCGTATTTCATCTCTAAAGGAATTGTGGGGTAGAAGTACGCATCTCCATAAAGGTCGTTGAAAATACCGTAATGCTCGGCTATTGTTTTTATGTGGTTTGGAGCATCTGTTTTCCACCAGTCCTCTTTTGCCGCTTTCAGGTCAATCAATACTGAAGAAGGAAAATAAAATTTCAGGCCTTAATCCATATTCATGAATTAATTGAAGGATAATTCGGGCAGAAATTGTGGCCATTGGATCAGTCATGGCATTGAATTTTGAAATTATTAAAAGGCACAAATTGGGAGATACAGAATATTCTTGAGACTGAATCGATCGAAATTCTCATCATCAATTCACATTTAACAACTTTTTAGAAGGCTTATGATGAAAAAATGATAAATTCTTCAACTCCATAATATTTTTCCTCATAACATCATCAGACATCTAAAGTATTTCCTCAAAAATGTATGAGTAATTGGGAATGATTCGAATCACAGCTGCTCTTACGTTCGTTTCGTCGTGCCTTTCGCTCCATCTCCGGATCATTTCTGTTTTTCTTCGCATTCTTTATAAATCCCTCTGACACCTCAGCCCGTGATAATTTCCGGGGTTTAAATCCGATATTCACCTTGTAACTCAACTCTGGATCTGCGGCATTCAATTCTGA